TATCATTTAAAGGGTGCACACTGTACAGCACATGTAGAGAATCTTTATACCAGATGTGAATTAAATGGTTGCCACGACTTCAGCTCTAACCAGAGATTATACTAGCCTTCCTGCAGGTCACGTGATTTACATCGGGGTGGGTCGTGAACCGAGAACCTCCTGTACAGTCTGTTCAAGAAAAGGAATCTTTTCTTCTCACCTGTGTCACCTTACAATTATTTAATACATTTTTAAATTTAAGTTTTGTTACAGAAACACTTTGCAAATTCTTGCTGTAAATCACATTTGGTGACCTTTCACCTCTGTGCCTGAACAGATGACATATGGATTAAAAGCAGACCAGTCTGGTGCAGTACTGCATCCTTTATGGTATATCCTTAACTATCATGTGACCCTGTCCTGACTTTTTTCAATAAGTCATTGACATTAATGCATTTCTTGTTGTTTTTTTCTTTGTTTGTTTTTTAATAAACCAAAGATTTAATTTAAAAAAAAAAGTATTTTAAGGATCTGCATATTTGTGGATGTAAGGTGTTTATTATAGATATTTGGTGTTTTATCACAACTCCTACTTTGTTAGATACAGTATTTCCATTATTTTATTAGGAAAGGGGCTCCATTATCCGTCCCCAGATGTTGTACTGTACTGTGAGTTGTGTGTCAGGTGTTGTGTGTGGATTTGAGACAAAGAAGGAGATTTAACCCCCGTAGGTTCAAAGAATTCTTACGGCGTCCTTGTCATCACGACAACAGGCCTGTCGTCTCTGAGGTGACCACGGGTTGTTTCTCTGAACTGTGCCCTGGTCGGGTCCACAACCCCAACATCTGATGTATCAGTAATACTATGATCTGTGAATTCAAATGACGAGCAGTTCCCATCTGTTCTGTTCACCGGAACCATTTTTACTCCAGATCCTCCGTCAAAGCGAAGGAAACCTTCTGACGGTTCGGTCACATGAATCGTACATATTTAACTTTTTTTAACTTACTGATGTGAAAGTTTATATTGTATTAAGGGAAAAAATCATAAATATTTCCATCAACATAAATATACAATAACCTGGTTAACAGTTAAATCTCTTCGAAAAAACACTTGAAATGTAGACATTTCTTCGTCCTAGTGTAAATTACCTTAAAAAAATATATAGATATATAGATATACTTGTTGCCAAGAATGTAAATAAATAAACAATTTACCCAAAAAAGTAACTACATTTTTATCAACTTGTTTTTTAATTGTTTCTATATATATATATATAACTATTTATTTATTTATTTTTATTTGTAAATGACCCGTTTGTTAGATTGACTCAGTCTCCACTGTCAAGTGTTTAACATAGGACGGTTAAATTCCCATAGTTGTATTTTCTAGACTTTTCTACGTGCTGCTGACGTGGACTGATGGCCAGCGGTGGTGACGTTTACTGTCATTTAAAGTGAAAGGTTGTTTTATTTCCTGCATTAAAAACTGCACAACTGTGCAGCCTGGACATATAGACCTGAAGGAACATTATTATATAATGGTGGGATATTTTTATACAGAATATTGATTTATAACTCACCAAAGAGACGGACCACATGGAGGAGGAGACTGAGTGTCTTTTTACTGGTTTTGCACGCCACTTTGTAAAGTTTGTTGTCTTTGTACATCGTTACTTTTTACGTGATCACATATATCCATTACAGTGTGTGTCAGACTTGCAAAAGTACATTTAATCTGCAAATCTGTGTTGTGCTATTCAGTGTTTTTAATGTGAATGTTGTTTAATTATTATTATTTTTTAAAATATTTTAAAGACACCTGTGTTGCCTTAAAGCAAAGGGAAATGTGTAAAAAAAATGTAAATATTCTATCTATGTGTTATTTATATTTTTGTGTGTTTAATATATTTGCTTACCCAGATGCAAATAAACAGTCTGGATAAAAAGTTGAAATTTTGAGATTCTGTTTGGTTTTGACGGGTTCGTGTTGGTGAGGAGGCAAAACCAACAACTGGGAACAAGTGTTGAAAATGATGGATTGTTAATGCTTTGTTTCTTTGAAACATATTGCAATAAATTCGATTTGTTTGGTTGAGTTATTCATTAGGTTTTCCCTCTTATCTCCAGGCGGTGTGAAGAATATAAACATTGTCATAATAGTCACTCTATCAAGGTTTCCTCCATATGATGGAGTTCTCTGCTGCTCCGCTGGCACTGCTGCATGTAAATAAACTAAACTAAGATAAAAGGCCAGATGCCGTGTGTCCCTGTTATATAATATGATCTAAGATAGACTTTCATGCCGGGCTGTGGTGAAGTGGAGCAGAAACTTCAGTCTGTGGCCTGAACCCTCGAGCTGGGATGAGTTATCTCTCCTCAGACTATTTGCAGTGACATTGATGGAGTCTAATGTGGGCACATTGTGACAATTAATGCCTGGACTTTAGTAACAAGAATGGCAGCGGACAAGATATTATCCATTGCACCGACGCTGCAGGCGAGAAGCATCTGCGGTCCACGGTGGACTGTTTGCTCTGTCTCCAATGAACTGCATTTCACCAGTCATTAGATCGGCCATAAATAAATAGCTGGGATAGCAGCCCGGGAGCTAATAAACATATCAGTAACATTTAACTGTTATTTATTTACAAAGAGCTTTATTTACATTAGTGCATTTAGCAGATGTTTTTATCCAAAGTGAAGTGGGAACTGGACTAAACTAGGGTGGAAATAAGTGGAGAAGGACGTAGAGGAGAGTGCTGCAGCAGGAGGTGCTTTCTGATCAGCTGGGTCTTCAAGAGCTTTTTGAAAAAACAGGCAGGGACGCCCCTGTTCTTGAGCAGAGAGCTCGTGGGGTAATCAGGGTGCAGGGTTGGGGGTTCGTCTGGAGAGTAACCTCAGTGTGTCCCTCCAAGATAAGGAGTAATTACCTCCACCATGAGGCAGACAGTTGTTGTTGGTCGTTTGTTTGCGACACAATATGTTTTAAAAAGTTCCCTGGTAATTAATGTTTTTCGATAACAACTTCTTCTGCGACTTCTGTCAACTTACTCTGTTGATTTATTTTGAAGGCGTTATGTTTTATGTTTTTTGACTGAATCTGTTGAAATCGCTTCACTGGCAGATGCTCTGTGGTGAAGCTAGACTCACGGCTGTACAAACGTTTCTTATCTTTGCTTCAAATGCAAAGGAACTGTAATCCTTTACTGTGATACACACAGTCTGAATGTAAATCAAATGATCCAGAGTGAAAATGTGAAAGGAAAAGAATGGGTCTTAATGTAAAATAAATAAGAGTGTAACTGTGACTGGAATATGAAACAGCACTTTAACCAAACAGCAGCCCACTTTACCTGGAGCCACGTCTGGATGGATGGTTTGATGTTGATGCACTTGGCTTAAAAAAACACCCCAAATGACTGGTGCCCGTCTGGACACACAGTAAAAATGTCCATGTCAGTGCCTGGAGTTCAGGATGATGCAGGGAGATGAAGATCAACTCTCCCGGTGGATGAGGATGATGTGCATTTTTTATTTCATTTCTTGTACATTTACATAACATTTATAATTTATTGTATTTATCCCTTGGAAATTGGAAATGACTCAGTTTATCAGTAATGTTCATGTTTATGTTTTAAGTGTATTTTGCACATTTTAAACGCGTATCAATCTGTAACTCAAATCAAAAAGAGGTTTGATTGTAGTCAGTGACAATTATTCAGTGACTATGATTTCACTTAATGTGAAGAACATTTATAGAGAGACGCTACCCTCTCCTGGTCAATTTTGTGGACTACAACTATTGATATCAATTTAATTTACACCGTTTCTTCCGTTAGTATATAAATAATAAAACATTTTAGTGGAGCCATCAGTGGCGCTGTTGGCTGTAAATAAAGGAAATTAAAGATGCGCACTAATTGATCCAGGTGCGGGGCACATGGTTTCATTGTCTGTGGCTGCAGGCTGGCGGCAGTTTTTGCTTCGAATTTTTATGCCTTTATTTGCAAATTATTAACTGTATTTACTGATGAAACCGTATTTTTGTCTAGTACTTTGTCAATATTGTGCGTATTTTAATGCTTCCAGTTGACGGGAGTCAAGCTGAAACAAAACACAGGTGCGTCATCACTTCTTTTTTTCCCCTCACTATTTCCAAGTGTCATTTTAAGCGAATTTAAACTTTACTGTGTATTTAATATTATTTATTTCAGTTATTTATTTTATTCTAAAATATATTTTGCGAATTAATTATCCGAGTAACGCCTTAACAATAACAATACATTTAAGTTAGTATTGTCAACAATATGAGCACGTCATGCACAAATAATGGGTCATTTATGCCTGTTTTTATTTCACAAGAATAATTTTAAAGACAACTTCATGAAACAACATTACTTATTTAGTATGACCAACATTATAAACATGAGGTTGATCGACATGTTCCCTGCATCAACACAAACACTGGCTTAAATAAGGTGAAATATTGATTAAATGTATGCCATTCCTGTGCACATATGAGCAGATGTGGTTCAGAGACCTGTGTGTTCTTCAGTCAATAACAGCGGGGCCGGGTGGACAGTAATGAGACTACATTATTTACTGCTCTCATTCATTTGCCTTAAGGGTGTAGCACCAGCGTGACGAACACATACTTTCTCATTAAGTTGCCATGATGTATTTTACAAAAGCTTCATAGTTAATGCATCCGTTGGTATCCTCTTGGTTCTGCATCAGCTGCTCCACCTCGTCCTCCCTCATCTTCTCACCTTTGGTCAAGAGCAAATCACAGACAAATCAGGGGGGGAAATGTCAGTAAAGGTTTCCTGCGAGTTCTTTAAAACATCTACTCGTAGTGTGTGAGTGCTACTCCACTCACCCAGTGTTGCCAGAACATGCCTGAGTTCTGCCCCCATGACTGTGCCATTGCCCTCCTTGTCGAACACCCTCAGACCCTCCACAAAGTCCTCATACGTTCCACGGTCTTTGGCCTTGCAGATGTGTTGGTGCACGGGGAGGAACTGCTCAAAGTCCAGCATCTTTGTCTGCATGTCTGCAGAAATATTAATCATATATTTATATACTGTGTATATGGTTTTGAACAGGGTTGGGTTTACAGATGAATTTGAATGTCCCATTACTGTAGCTGCTGTATTGTCTCACTGATGTGCTTACCTTCAGCTTTAGGCTTTCCAAGGACGTACATGATCTCTGCATTCGTAGGATTCTGGCCCAAAGCTCTGACGAGGTCACCGCACTGAGCGTAAGTGATTTTCATCTCACTGGCGGGAGTCCTGTCAAACAGCTGGAAAGCGTCCTTGAAATCTGTGAACAAATGTAAAGTCTGATTGTTCCTTTTCATATTCCTTACATCCATTGTTATCTGATATGCACACGGTGGTGAGAAAATCTTGAAAAGACTGTACATAAAAGATTTGAAGCCTGACAACGTAACAAAAAAAAAAAAAACCCTCTTGTGCTACAGACGCAGATGGAAAGACTCAAACAAAAGAACTTCACTACAGACGCAGATGGAAAGACTCAAACTCTGTCTTATTGACGTGTGCACTTTCACAGGGACTCGTTTGAAAAGATGAAGTGAAGTCTGGATCTGATGTCTTGAACTGCTCTCGTTTTTCACACGTAATTGCGCAAACAATGTGTCGCTGCCATGAAGAAATGCATGAATTAATAATGAATGTGAATTAATTGTAATAATATAAGTAACAAACCTACCTTCAATCTGCTCCGCGGTGAATTCAAGCTGTAAAGAAACAAGATAATAGATTGTTTAAAAAAAAAAAAGTTCTTGAGACTTTAGAGTCACATGGAACTCTTTATTTCTTTTTTACGACCATCCCCTGGCTTCGCCTCCTGCCATCTGGATGTGCCAGCAGAATGAGTGACAGTCTGCATCTGTTCCAATCACACCACGTTATTTCCTGTTGACCTTGGACCCAACGACCTGTCCTTTCTGCTAAGGTTACATTCATTTCAGAGAACAATAAGTGTCTGTGAACATCTGCCAACAAAGTCATCTATTTTTCAAGTTGTGTTTAATGTACAATTTTTATTAGTATTGCATCTGATTTGCTGATGCCTTGAAGACGCTTACCTACCGCAACAATTCAAATAAGAGAAATAAAATACACTAAATATAAAGTTTGGAAACAGTTGACATTGGATGGTAAAAATGAATAAAAATAATTTTATTAAATGCCACATTTTCTGTTTTTTTATTGTAATTCTAATATGTTTAATGTAAGTTAATGAGTGTATATTTTTAGTTCTTTAACAGTAAAATGAGACAACGTTACTTCCAATAGTTTGAAAAGCTATTAGTAATTATTATACTTCCAATAGTTTGAAAAGCTATTAGTGACTACTAACACTCAGGGCAAACCCGGACTATTTTTACTCCATGTGTTCTTTGGACCCTCCATCAGACAATTGTCGCCCCAACGTCTGGATGATTCCAAACCTCAACCCCTCCCAGAAATCTCTGTGAAAATATTATCTAACCACTTATCTAAGCACACTTTCAAACAGCGGCCGATGGATCTAATTATGTATATTTTCCCTTTCCTCTCCCTCTTTTCCAGGCCTCATTGCCCTCGGAGGAAAAGGGTGGGTGGTCTGCCACTCGCAGACATAATGAAAATCATATTTTGCGGCCGTCTTTTGCTCCTCACTGTAACAGCTCGACGGAAAAGGACAAAGTTGATCTGCTGAAAGGGAGGCGAGCGGAGTCAGCAGGAGTTATTCCTGTGATGTGAGGTTTCAGTTCACTCATTTAAAACTCATCAGAAAGATACATTAGAATTATTATGGATTAGTGTTTCATGGACCGACTGTAAATCTGTAAAACAGGCATTCTTATCATTTACTACATTCAGCTGCAGAGTCTTTAGTGTGACAATGCATGTAATGTTACGCTTTGGTCACACGGGGTCTCTGATGGCCTTCACTAATTGCCTTCAACCGTCATCTCGGTTTTTCTGGAGTGTTCTTCTACCAACCATTTAAAACAGTATAAGTTTCATATCCAGTCAAACTCTCCTTCAGTCTGCGATGATTAAATCGTAATAAAACATTGTTGTCTTTTACCGTCACTGTGGCAGGGTCAAACACCGGGGTCTTGGGACGCTCCGGCTCTGGCGGTTTGGGAGCAGCAGGTGCAGGTTTGGGCTCTTCCTTCTTCTTCGGGGCCATGGCAGAAAGACAAAGACAGGGAGGACGGACCGACAGAACAGAGGGATCAACGCACTGCAAATGAAGGTGACCCATTAGAGGCTCGCTCTCTTTATCCACTGTACACAGGTGTCATCTTCCACTGCCAACAATAGGCCCAGGCCTATAAAAGGATATGACACTGAGCATCTATTTAAGACAAAAGAAGTGGTGTGAGTGAATGCATGATATGATGAAGGATAGATATAGTGATGGAAAATTACATTAGCAGAAATGCCGTGCCTGAAACCACTATACTAATTGGACTGCTTCCATCGGCACAAGTGCAGCCCAGGGTGACCTCCCCTTTGTCTGACTGTTGACTTTGCTCAGTAAATTGTGAGGACCATTAGCGAGGAGGACCCAAACAAAATGCTGATTGCCGTACGAGAGCCGCGCCGCGGTCGTTTCAATTAGAACGTCATAATAGTACGCGATGAAGTGGAGTTATTGGTAATTATTATTCAAATTTGGGACAAATCAGCCGACGTTACGTTCTGTGTCAGAACAAAGTCCGTGTGATGACCGTTTATCCGGTCTGATCAATGGGGATTTGTGCAGCATTAAAACCAAATCCTGCCCGCAGCGCCGGCCAGAGAATAGTTTTTTCCGTCTGATGTCAGACAGTGAGAGTGGTTTTTCGGCGAACAGAACCCAGATGAAAGCTCAGAACATGGATGTCAAGACAGTAATCTGGGGTGACACTAAGTACCGCTCTGAGAGGAGGAGACGGAGCGGCAGCCAGAGCCATGCTTTTGGTGTTAACTCTGTGTGTTGTGGGAGGGAGATTACACAAGAGCAAACAACTCAAACTGCCATTCAAGTAAAGTGAAAATCAATTTTAAAGAGCGGGCCTTAACAAAGTATTTTAACAAGCCCGGATTCCAGGAATGTTGCTGTGGTCACATCGTCAAAACTGCACAGTTCCAGTTTTTTGGTTTATGGTTGTTCCTGATGCAACACAACCCGACCAGGGAACAGCTGCAGTCTGGAGTCATCTTCTGTGTGGCTCATCCACTCTGCCACTGTGGGGTTTTGTGCAATATTTTAAAAGTACATAAGATGAGTATTTAGCACATACTTCAGCTTCGGGTTTCGGGTTTCACCAGACAACTCACTTTATTTGTCAAAACTATATAATTGGTTTACTCGATGTCTGCAACAAACTCTGACATCTTTATCCACAGTTTTAACATCCAGGCCGTTGCCCAGGTTTACTCTGTTCTCTGTGTCTGCAGACATCAATATGTTTACTATTATATTCAATATTCAGGTGAATTTTTAGTTTGTTCAACAGTAGCAGAATGAAGCTTCTCTCATTGTTGTCCTTAAAAGTTTTTTTCTCTTGAGTAAAACACAGACTTTTTATGACAGCTTTTTAACCAGACAGGAATAAAATGACAAAAATAAAATAATATTCATAATCATATTACAGGCTCACTATATGACCGAATATTCATAATCATATTACAGGCTCACCATATGACAATATGACAATTGTCAGGACGGAGTTGTGTTTCTCTACCAATAGTCTTGCGAGAAAATCATGTTTGTTTGGCTGCGGTGGTGGGCTCACAGTTCTTCTCCTGCTGCTCAGCTGATATTTTGTTTTGGTGGTGGTTGGCCCGGACCATTCAGCATGGATTGAAAGGGAAGCGTTGACTTGTGTGTTGAGTGCTGGGCTCTATTTTAACTCTGCGTGTCTTAGGTAAAGGTAAAATCAAATGTGACGTATTAATCAATAAAAGTCGGAAAAATGAAACTAATTCTCGCCCTGAACATCGGCGCCCTTGTCCCCAGGTGTTTATTTTATATCAGAAACAACTTGTATTCCAGTGGTTTTGCTCTGAGCCCCGGCCTTTTCATGTATAATCACACAGACTTCATTTTATCCTTTGTCTTTGCACTGAATGATATTAGTCAACAGCTGTTGAGGGGGTTTGTATTTTAAGCAGATGCTCCCACACACCTCATGTGACCACGCTGGCAGCCAATCCAGTCGGTGGCACGGGGTGAGTTTTTGTGGCAGGAAGTTGACCCACGTACAGGCCCGATGTCCACGGATTGTACATTTGTAGAATGGACTATGACCAGCTGTTTGGTCACCCACTGTTATGACTCAGTGTGTGTCTTTGTGTTTAGAAATATGAAGTAAAACGTGTTTGGTAAAACATCGAACGTTGGCACCATGTTGGCAGACAAACCCGCTGGGTTGGTAGGATGAAAAAAAAACATAAGTACCTGACTGAATTTAAATTCTGTGAAGATATTGGAAGAAAAACAAACAGTAAAAAGATTCATTTTTCACAGCTTTTTGAGGAAGTGCAGAATGTGACCCCAGCTGACATAAGGTCAATGCAGGGTCAGACCTGCACGAACTTAAATCATTAGCATCATTCTTTGAAGGTCAGCATCTTATTGCACAGTCAGTGGTCTTCATCGGACCACGACAATGATTTTGGTGAAAACCCCAGTGAGTGACGTTGGTCTGTGGTCCTATAGGTGACAGTCCATCGATGGAGGTTGATCACATATGAAAAATCATTAGTCTGTTAATGCCTGACTATTGGACTGTAAAGATACAATAATCTCCAGATTAGTGGCAGCTGGATGAATAATAATCCACTTGTTCCCATTTATTTTCAGAGAGAACGGAGCTGAGGCTGTAACTCTCTGGTCGCTGGAACATTTATAGAGACGTACAAGCAGAAAACAATTCATGCCACTCTGATTATAAATGGATTGCAGCTCAACATAACTCAGCACAGCTCCGCCCCCTTTTTTGAAAATCCTTCCAGGTGATGCCAAGTGATAGGCAGCAGTTCACAGCATGTCCCGTCCAGCCCTTGACTCCAGACCGGTCCAGTCTGCTATTTTGGTCTTGGCCTGTTGTCTCAGTGCTATGCATGTTGGAAGAGCTCCAATCGATGAACAATGCCAGTTGTCTCTTTGGCTCTTCACACGACCTTGATCAGAGCAGCAGCCTTTTGTTCTCTAACAGCCCGGGTTCACGTCGTACGTAGAAGCTGCAGGTAAACGTAATTAACAGAACAACAAAAACTGTTAATATATTTCTGATTCTGAGGGTCTGATGTAGTGTAGGATAATCCGCGATGTGCCACCCTACAGATACTTGAGCAGATTGAACACCAGGGGTGTGAAATCCTGTCAGACTAAATACAGAAAATCCTCTTTAAAATGGAAGAGGAGGAGGAAGAGGAGGAACAGGAGTAAGAAAAGTTTTCAGACATTAAATTAACTCCATAGCAAGAATGTTAAAATCACTTGGACCCAAATTCTGACATTAAATCTAGTAAATATAAAGTAAAGGTCAGCAGCAGTACTGGCATAATCATAAACCCTAATCTAAAATAATCTAATCTGATCTAATCTAATCTATGGCTGAGTTTCCATTTTGTGGGGAGTATTTTTTACTTTTCATTTTAAAGCCAGTGCTGCATTTTCAACACACGTTCTAGATTAGTTGCTGCCATTAATCAGAAGACAGTTGTCTAGTCGACTACAGTGGTGGTGGAGAGTTTTTGATGATTTATTTTAAGCAGCTGCCAGTCCTGGCCAGGTGGGAGCGATAGAGAGCTACATAAGTTAAAAAAAAAAAAAAAAAAAACTTTACCCCCAACAATTTTTTATTTT